AAGGTGACTGATCTGAAGCTCGCAGCCACGCTGAGTTTCAGTTCCACGGACAGCGGCGACTCAACATTCACGAGCAACGAGGCCACGTGGGCCATGGATCCTTGTGCGGTCTTTGAGGAGGTTTTCAGCGTTGCCGCCCGTGCCCTGATCATGATCGTCGCCGGTGTCCTCATCCTGCTGGCTGGCCTTATCACCTTCTTCATCGGATGCTGCTGCTGCCTGTGCTGCGGGGCCAAGGAGTGAGCCGTCGGATCCCACGACGCAAGCTGCCTGCAAGGCGGCGCACGGCATTTTGCTTCGAGCCCCATGGATTTTGTCAAGGCTTCATGGAGAGTCGAAGGCACCAGTAGGGTGCCAGCCTGAGGGCACCAACTCTCTGCAAGTCTTGGCGCAATCATGTGCGGGGCACCCCCCCTTGATATCTATCCCAAAGATAGAGATGAATTAGTTGGAGCTGCTTTGTTGTCGGTGAGCAACTGAAGTTGTGTTCCAAAATGGGTACGGCCCTGCCAACATCACTAGCACAGACTGGGATTTGGAAGTCATTGGGGAGCCACGTTGCACCATGAGCTTAGTTCAGTTACAAACTGCATGCAGTGCCAGATAATTTGCGCTGACTGAGAGCAAAGATGGCCGGCAACAGTCTGGGTTGGGCGTTTTCTCGTGTCAGATCTGAGGCGGCTTTCTCGCGGGGATTGCGTCAGTACTGGGTGTCAGAAACACTTGCTGTATGATTGTATATATGGTTGCTTTGACTTGTTGCTTGTTTTCTTTTTGAAATGAGGCTAGGCAGAACATGTTTGAGCTGACTCATTGGGGTTTGCGAAGTCTGCTATTTGGCCGAACCATGTACAGGGCTTACCCAAGGGGAAAGGGTGAGAGCCGGTACCAAAGGAACAACCATTCGCCGTGCAGAGAATTTCCGCAAGTGCAGGCCACGGGAATGCTGACGCGATTTGTTGCGACGTGCAGTTTGAATCAGTTTGATATGCCTGGCACTTTAAGGCTTTTCTTGCAGGCCACCTTGCCAGCATCACCCAACCGACTTCCTACCCCGAAGCAAGCGACTTGCCGCTACATCACGGCCCGTGACGTTACTCCAGCCTCTACAGCTTGCTGTTTCGCTTGTTGGTGCATATGTTGTTGCTTTTCGAGAATTCGTCGAAACATACCACGAGAGCCCTATACAGGTGCGGATTTCGCAAAAACACACACACAGACACAGACACAGACACAGACACAGACACAGACACAGACACACAGACACACAGACACACAGACACACAGACACACAGACACACAGACACACAGACACACAGACACACAGACACACAGACACACAGACACACAGACACAGACACAGACACAGACGCACGCACGCGCACCCGCACCCGCACCCGCACCCGCACCCGCACCCACAAACACACACACACCCACCCCCACCCCCACCCCCACACGCAGACGCACACGCGCACACGCACACACGCACACACGCACACACGCACACACGCACACGACACGCACACGACACGCACACGACACGCACACGCACACACGCACACGCGCACACGCACACACCCACACACCCACACACGCACACACGCACACACGCACACACACACACACACAAACACACAAAACACACACAAACACACACAAACACACACAAACACACACAAACACACACAAACACACACAAACACACACAAACACACACAAACACACACAAACACACACAAACACACACAAACACACACAAACACACACACACACACAAACACACACACACACACACACACAAACACACAAACACACAAACACACAAACACACAAACACACAAACACACAAACACACACACAAACACACAAACACACAAACACACAAACACACAAACACACAAACACACAAACACACAACACACACACACACACACACACACACACACACACACACACACACACACACACACACACACACACACACACACACACACACACACACACACACACACACACACACACACACACACACACACACACACACACGCACACACACACACACACACACGCACACGCGCACGCGCACGCGCACGCGCACGCGCACGCGCACGCGCACGCGCACGCGCACGCGCACGCGCACGCGCACGCGCACGCGCACGCGCCACCACCGGCATCTCCAAAGCAACAGCAGTCATGCCGCCAAGACAGCACCACCGTAGGCAAGACAAAACGCGCTTGCTAAGCATTCAAAGACCCAAAATGCTTGACAATTGCAGGGTTTTGGACACCGGGCAACTGTTGCCCAAAAATGGTCTCCCCAAAAGCCTTTAGAAGAAAATTCAAAAGAAAGAACAAGTTGCGGATTACCATCTACACGCTCGGCTGGCGTCGGCGGATTTGCTGCATCGGTCCATCCAAACAGCCGGGGCTGCAGTTTATTTCACTGTCAGGCCCATAAGGATACTTGGCACAACATTGTAGTCATTGGATCCTGTCAAACCGTCCTCTTACCTATGCCTCCTCTTGCGTGCCCACTAGCCACAACAGCTGTCCTTCCTGTCCCAACACCTCCTTTAGGACGGAGATGTCATTGCCTCTCATCGCTTGACGTGGGTTTTCCGCGAAGGGCAATTCGTCCGATGGGGTCCAACCTCTTGCTCGAGGTTGTGTATAGCCTGTTGCCCGTGATTGCCCGTGATCCCCAGGCCCCGCCGAGACCATGGCTTGCAGCAAGACGTGCCAGAAGGTGTCCCTGTGCATCGGCATCCTTTTGGCCATTGCGGGTCTTGCCCTCACGCTGGTTGGAATGTTTGACCTTTCCTCGATGTCGCTGAGCCTGTCCACGGAGATGGACGGAACTCTCACTGGCTCCTTGCCTGTGTTGGCTGGCTCCTGCCAGTACGTGATGCTGGTGGCCAAGACTGCTGACTGCGGCCTCATCGTGTCTACAGCCTCCGTGGGCACGCTGGACACCTCCCTGTGTGGCCAGGAGGAGATTCCCGAGGAGGGGGCGGAGCGGGCGCCAGGCAATCGCAACCTGGAGAATCTTGATTGGACCATCGGCTCCGAGAAGGTGACTGATCTGAAGCTCGCAGCCACGCTGAGTTTCAGTTCCACGGACAGCGGCGACTCAACATTCACGAGCAACGAGGCCACGTGGGCCATGGATCCTTGTGCGGTCTTTGAGGAGGTTTTCAGCGTTGCCGCCCGTGCCCTGATCATGATCGTCGCCGGTGTCCTCATCCTGCTGGCTGGCCTTATCACCTTCTTCATCGGATGCTGCTGCTGCCTGTGCTGCGGGGCCAAGGAGTGAGCCGTCGGAACCCACGACGCAAGCTGCCTGCAAGGCGGCGCACGGCATTTTGCTTCGAGCCCCGTGGATTTTGTCAAGGCTTCATGGAGAGTCGAAGGCACCAGTAGGGTGCCAGCCTGAGGGCACCAACTCTCTGCAAGTCTTGGCGCAATCATGTGCGGGGCACCCCCCCTTGATATCTATCCCAAAGATAGAGATGAATTAGTTGGAGCTGCTTTTTTGTCGGTGAGCAACTGAAGTTGTGTTCCAAAATGGGTACGGCCCTGCAAACATTACTAGCGCAGATTGGGATGTTGAAGTCATTGGGGAGCCACGTTGCACCATGAGCTTAATTCAGTCACAAAGTGCATGCAGTGCCAGATAATTTGCGCTGACTGAGAGCAAAGATGGCCGGCAACAGTCTGGGTTGGATGTGTTCTCGTGTCAGATCTGAGGCGGCTTTCTCGCGGGGATTGCGTCAGTACTGGGTGTCAGAAACACTTGCTTCACTATTGTGGGGTGTTTGTTTAGCTTGTTGCTCTCTTTTTTGAAATGGGCTACGCAGAACATGTTTGAGCTGACTCCTTCGGGTTTAGTTGACCAACAAAAACATGTACGGGGCTTAAGGGGACGAGTTTTGAGAGCCACCCCGGGAGCTGAAAGAATACGGGATTTCAGAAGTTCTTTGATGTAGCATGTCTTTGGCATGTTCCGGGCCTGTTTGCACGTGCCAGTGAAAGCCTGGCTACCCTGTGACAGGCGCTTCTGTTTTCCGTTCCGTCAGGGTAAACAATAACATGGTGACATGTGATGTTTCCCAGTACCAAACGACACACACATTCGCCGTGAAGGGAATTTCCGCAAGCGCAAGCCACGGTGATTCTGACACAATTTGTTGCGACGCGCAGTTTGAATCAGTTTGATATGCCTGGCCCTTTAAGGCTTTTCTTGCAGGCCACCTTGCCAGCATCACCCAACCGGCTTTCTACCCCGAAGAAGCGACTTGTCGCAACATCACGGCCCGTGATGTTACTCCAGCCTCTGCAGCTTGTGGTTTCGCCTGTCGGTTTATATTTAGTTGCTATTCGAGAATTCACCGAAACATACCGAAACGTCACCCACATCTATGGCAGAGCTATCTGCTTGTTTGCATATTGTTTGATCTTGACACTTCTTATCACCCCTGCATTTCAGATTGTCGCAAGTGGAATGTGTCAGCAGCTCAGATGGCATTGGATTCTATACGTTTGTCAAACGAGATTGTAAGGGCTACAGATTCGTGATGCAAGTTTCTCCTCATGTGATGGATTGTTTTGCTAGCATGCACTGCAATGTACTTGAACATGGCTCCTTGATTCTCTTTGCTGAGGGGGCAGCGCCTCAATGACAGATGTTTGCTGCATCGTTCCATCCAAAAAGCCGGGGCTGCAGTTTTTTTTTGTTCACTATCAGGCCCACAAGGTCATCGGATCCCGTCAAACGGCAGAACCACACACTCTCACCTCCCATGCCATTTGCACGCTCAGTGGCCACAACTGCTGTCAGCACATTCATTTGCACCATCCCTACCTGCCGTTTTATGAAGTGTTCCTTGGGCTGTTGTATCAATGCCTCCCGTCCCAACACATGTCCTTCCTTTAGGACAGGGATGTCCTTGCTTCTCGTCGCTAGGGGCCGATTCGTCCGAAATTCCGAAATCCAAGCTCAGGAGAGCGGTCCGACGGCTACCAGGCGCTTCGGTATTTGTAGCCCCCTGTTCAGCGCCCGTTTGCCTTTGGGTTCTCGAAATCGTCACGGACACCCTTGTTCCAAAAGGGGAACTGGGTTCCCGATGAAAGATGACCTGTCGGAACATTGCAACTCACGGAATCGAGTTCCGTTTCTTCACGCGTGTGACAACCCTTCTTTTTCGCGGTGCGCAGGGCTTGATAGGGCGGCCCGTGGTTGACGTTCTTTGCGCCCGATGGTTTGGTGAATTTCTGAAGTCTTGGACCTTGAAGCACTTGGTCATCGCCTGAACGACATGATTGGACGAAATCTCCTCATTCCCATCAGGTATGGCATGATGATGCCCGGCCAAGACGATGAACGCATGGCCTTTAAAGGTGATTTCTTGGGCAATTACATCCGTTCCGCAGCCCTTGAAGAGGCAAAGGGCTTGATGCTCGTCCCGTTTCACGAGTTGCCAGCAACCGGACTTCAGGGTGCAATTGTTAGAGCACGTCGAGAGATGCAGGGCGCGTATGGTAGGCGCAGGAAACCAGAAATGCTTCATTTTTGCCATGCAACTGCTGCTTTGGTCATGGGTTGTTCTTGCGAGATGCTCAGATGGTTGGCAGCCTGAATCGCCCAGCGCGTCATGCTGTGCGATACATCATAGTAACTACCATGTCACACACACCCTAGCTGGCTTCCATGACTAGGAGTAGCATGACTGCCGTGCTAGTAAGGATCGGTTCCTTCCCATCACCCCCACGTGGCTGCATTGTTTATTTTCTCTGTCCATTCTGCTTGTCAACATCCTTTGACTCAGCATGAGCGTGTGCAAGAACGTGCATGCGTAGTTGAGTGCCCTAAGTTCGCTGTTAAGAAGGACTCCAGGATCCTGAGAACTTGGAAACATGGAGTGCGACATGAATTTGCAGGTAGACGTGGCCGGTAGACACTTGTTCCTGCGGTACTGCACGGTCATTGCATACATGTGCCTTCGCCGGGACGGAAACTAGTGGACTTTTGTTGAGGAAAATTCTATATGATATATGTACTAGGGAAAAACGCACGTGCACAACTGCACGTGGGTGCATGAGCTGCTCACCCGATCATGTGTTCTTGCCTCAGTGTCGTTCCTGTCAGCTTGGCTCAAACGCCATGAAGTGCAAAAAGCCAGGTTGAGGCGATGTTTGGCCCAGGCGCCAAATTTCCGCCCCTGGCACCTTTGGCACCTCTGGCACCTCGGGCGCTGGCGCCTCTGGTACCTCTGGCGCCTGCCTATGCCGCGCTGCCGGTGCTGGCGACGCCAGGCGCTTGGCAAGCGAAGAGCCATGGGCCGCCAGTGAAGATGCCAGCCGCAGCGGCAAAGCCGCAGGAGCCGGGCCAGCAGTCTGTGGGGGCGAGTGAGGGGCAAGCAATCCATGGGCCTTTTCGCAGAATGCCTTGCCATATGGCCATGAGTGCCATCGCCCGCTTAGCGAAGCAACACGGAAACTATGTACAAGAGCAGAACAAGGTTCGGCACTGCAAAAGTCTGATGTTCTCCTTTGATAGTAGGTGCGTGTTTTAATTGTTTTACGCTGCGGCACATGTTCTTATGCATTTTGTTAATTTGCGCCCGGCTTGTTGGCCCGAGCTGCCACAAGAACAAATTCGAGCAGTGTGTTGCACGTCAGTGACGGAGATTCAAACATCAAACATGGGTGGTCTTGGTCTTGCTAGCAGCATAAGTCAGTGTGTGGCACACTTGGTCCTGCTAGCAGCCTCATGCTTGCCAAATCCCAGAGGCTGTGCTTGCTAACTCCTGAGCATACAAGGAATCACTCCTCAGGAAAGCTAATTGACTTGAGCCTTTATGCGCCCTGCAGAGGTGCCGGTCCGGGGGTGAGTCTCCGGTTTGCAGGACGTGCTGTTGATGATCCGTCAGGGAGTGGCAAGCCAAGACCGCGGTGCGGTGAAGAATGCGTTGCAACTGGCCCACCAACTGGGCACCCCCATTGAGCCACCTATCCTCGAGATGCTGCGGAAATGGCTCGGGGAGGAGGCGGGAGAGGAGACAAGCTGGAGGAACAGTGGCTCCGTTGAAAAGGACGTCCATGTTGATCCATCCCTTCAGGAAACATGCAGACACCTGCTTGGGTGCACACAAAAGGGACTGAAGGATACCAAAGAGAGGTAGCATATTGTAACCCCGCTAGGGTTGACCAATCCGGAATTATATTCAGCCTGGACTTGTGGGCTGTCAAGGGGGGGTTGGCCTCCTTTCACTGCAACATACTGCAAGACCCTCCTACAGTCGTTCTGTGGGAGCTTCCGGCGCATTTTTTCAGTTTGAGCAGCTTGCTTGCCGACTTGACCATGTGTTTTGTGCGTATGCATTCTGCAGTGTTCCAGAAATATACTTCCCTTTTGTGCACATGGGTTACCCACATGTAACGTGGGCAAATTCTACGTAGATTCTGCGGTTTTTCGGTGATGTGGGGAGCCCACGTTTCAGGCCTTCAATGCCGCCACTGGGAAGGCGCCGGGCCTGGCCCCGATGGCCCCCATAGCCCCTGCGCCACTGGCGCCGGCGCCGCTGGCACCGCTGGCGGAGAGAGAGCCCGAGCGGCCGAACCAGCCGCCGCTGGTGGTGATCCGTGAGGGGGTGGCGGAGCAGAACCGGGAAAAGGTGCCCAAGCTGGCGGGTTTTTGACTGATTCCCTTGACTTGCTGTCCTGGGACGGCCCAAAATGGCCGTTTGCTTTGTAGAAATTAGCTTTGGATTTGGGCTGGTGTTGGCATCCTGGCATTTGGCAAATTTGGGCGAGAGCATGTGAGGTACGAAACGCGTTGCGCCTCGCAGTGGAGCAGGGCACTCAGATAGATGCGCCTGTTCTGGAGATGCTGCGCAAGTGGCTTGGTCAGGACGCAGTTTTCGACAAAGTTGCGCAAGCGCAGCGCACGCTGAAGCCAACACGAACTTCTCACTCGCTGAGTTGTTGGACTTATATAATCTTGCCTGAGAATACAATTTTATCGGTAAACCAAAAGTCTGGACTTGTTCTGGCTCATCCACTCAGGAAGTGACATTCGTTTCCTGGATGGTCGCTGCAGGTCTTGGGTGCAACTCACGATGTTTCTTTCGCAGGACGACGAGGCTCTCAACACCTTAGCAGCACGAAAGGGTGTGCAGCTCAACGCCACGGAGCAAGCGCTGGCCGCGTCTACGGTGAAGGCGTCGCCCACGCTTCCGCCTTCCGCTTCCAGCCCCGTCCCTGGCCCCGCAGCCCCCGCAGTCCCCACTGCCCCGCCTGCTGCCCCACAAGCACTGGAGCCCACAGAGCCCATTGCGGCGGCGAAAGCGGCGCCCGGCCCAGTGCCCCCAGGGCCTGTGGAGCACGAGACGGCCAAGTCTGCGCCGCAGCCAGCGCCTCCCAAGTCTGCGCCAAAGGCTGCGCCCATGCCGGTGATTCGAAGGGGTGCGGCACTTAGAGCAGCTTTGGAACTGAAGCCACGCAGAATACTTTCATCTAGTATGTGAGGAGGAACGCCCACTCTCCAACAAAGTGGGGGAATTTGCAAACATCTGAGAAACAGCGGCCACAGCAAGAACCACCACGCCAAAGCCAGCATGACCGGAACAACTTTACTTGGTCCTTGTTTCCCTGTGTGCCTTGAAAGCCTTCTTTGTTTGGTTTCTCCACGTTTCGAGGTCCGGTGCTGAACACCGAGAAGAGCCCCGCCCCACCGCCGCCGGACTTGGATGCCTCGCAGGAGCCTCAGCTACAGGTGCTTTTGCGAGACCTTGTGAAATCCGGACTTCTGGATTTTTCCCAGGCTTAGATAGTCGCGCATGAGCCTCTGCACGTTTTCGTAGGCAGTCCATCAAATGATATACATGTTGCCACATGTGCATACCAGCGGGCTGACTTCCATATGATTTCTGGACAACCCTTGTGATGTTTTGGTGTTTCATTCCAGCAACTTTGCTTACTGCTAGTTTTCGTTTCGTTGGATGGTCAATGGCGACATTCTAGTTGTCGTTGGTTAGGTTCTTGTAAACTCATGAGCGCTCATGAGGGCGGAGCAGGGGCTTCGACAACGTAAAGTTGATTTGGGTTTAGAAGCTGTGAGCCATCGTGAAAAGTGCGCTGGAGCCGGAGCAGTCTTATCAACAACAGCTTCCTTCAATGAGATGCAAGGATATGTGACGAGATGTCCTCCCCTCTATTTTGCCCCCAGGCCGAACCCTGCGGGATGGCGTTCTCGAGCGATTTGGCTCTTGCAGTTTTGTGACGGCAAACGTACACAACACTTCTAAAGGACTTGCGCTCACCAAGTCGCAGAAGTGCGCATGGTCTACTACAATGAAACCAATCATTTGGCGCGGTCCCTAGTTTGGATAAACTCCAAGTTTAGAGATAAAGGACCATCATTCACGGTTCGGAGGAATTCCTGCGGGCAATCTTGACTGAGCGTTCCTTCTGAAACACAGGGCGCGTGTGTTGAATGCAAGGTCCGTGCAAGCGCGAGCTTTTCATTTGTTCGGCACCTCAAATGCCGTTTTGAGGATGTTTTCTAGATTAATCTGTTTGTCACAAAATAGGTTGCCTTTTTGGGCTCTCGCAAAGACAACTTGGGGGCACCATTTTGTGAAGATTCCCAACTCCATTCGGAAGCCGCACGGATTCGGTTGGAGCTGCGACCTGCCGATTTTCCAGCCAAAGGGAACCCCGGAAGTAGGGCCTTTTGTAAACATCGGGGTTCCGCGCCCGTTATCCGCCCGATTTCGGGATATCTCAGGCCGGTGCAGAGGACTCCAGGACACACGTACAGGACACAGGACACCTCAGTTTACACGCATCTTTAACGTCCTAGATTCGGGTGCGACTCGAGAGCCTGGAGAGCCATCCTGCGCCATGAAGGTGGATGTTCACTTGCCCAGCGGACATGGTTGCTCCGTAGAAGCCTTTCCGGCCATGCCCATCAGCGAGCTCACGGCTGTAGCACAGCAGCATTTCCAGCGCAGCTGAGAAAGG